GAATACCTATAAACACAATTTGTTCCAGGTTGATTATCCATGCTTAACATATTCCTTTGCTGTTTTTTTCTTGAATAATTACTTTTGACTGAACTACACACCCTAGCTTTTTCTAGCATGAACCAAAGATTGAAATTAAATATTTTCTAGGTGTTGCTTTCTTGCTCTGTTCTTTAAATGAAACACCATTCAAGAACATTTAAATAAACTATGGTGACAGAAGGTTGCTTATTTAGCACAGATGAATTGTAGAAGTTAATAAAGATTTATCGCAAAGCAGCTGTGAAATTTATATTTCTAATACTATAATTTGTGAAATTGATTTTTTACATGTGTTTAATTGTAAGCATACATCAAATAATTCATGGTTGTTTAATATGATAGCCATAAGGGCCCCCAAATGTGAGAAAAAAATACAATCAGGTACATCAAAGAGGATAAATCAACATAAATCCTTCTGTTTTCATGTTTCAAATTGTATATACATAGAATATTAAGAACATGATTCAAGCAAGTTTCCATACTATTGACCCATAACATTTTATTTCCACACTCACACATGTGCTACCTGAGCAATGTTAATGTTCTAATGATTTTTTTCTTTCAATGTATAGTTCTGGTAAAATATCAGACTCTTTTGTTAAATAGCTGTTTCTCTTAGTAAATCCAACTGCCTTTGGATGTGTACTCTAGTTTTCGACTTTTAGGTGAACTCTTAGCTCATTCTCCAAATTCACATATTTGACATGCTATTTGATCTGGACAACCAATCCTTGTCCTCAGATCTGAAGAACAAAGGGTCTCAGAGTAGTCTGAAATTGTCCTAACTAATCATGATTGTAAAGAAATAGATGCAAAATTTTTTGTTACTAGTTGCCTCCACCAGACTTTCAGATAAATCCACAGTGCATGGATAACTTTTCCACTTTAAGATATGTAAACTACAGATAAGGAAAACATTAGTTTTATCTTCTCAGTTCCATTGTGCGATTAGATAATTTTGGGAAGTAACTCTCAAGCTACTTGAAATAAAATTGCCAAAGAAACATCAAGTGGAATTATGGGAAATCCTACCTCTGTTTCTAGTAGTAAAATGATCTTATAAAAAGTTAATATATAATGCACTTTAGTTCTGAGCCCAAAATTTATACTCTATTAAAAAATTTCTATAAACTTGCTAAAATTCAACTTCGGGCTCTGATTCCTTTGGAAAGAATAACTTACAAATCCACATATTACATTTTCCTGGAATATTCGTGGTTTCATTTATGTGATTTCCATTGATGCCTTCTTGGCATCACTCAACATTATTTCATGGGGCCAGTATGTGTGTTGAGTGTTGTGTCCCTAACCTTGAGATGAGAAACTATCATGCCATATGAGTGTGGGTTCCTGTGCTAGTACTCCATTCCCATCCCTACTTCCTGCTAAATCATTCCTGGGGAAACAATGAAGATGACTAACTCAAGTACATGGACCCCAACCACTAACTTGGGAAATGCGGATAGAATTCTAGTCTTGTGGCTTTGGAATGGTCCAGTCTTGAATAGACAAGCATATGGCAAATTTCTCTCTATCTCATGTTGTATCCAACAAAGTCAAACTGAGTTGATTATAATAAAAATATTCTTCAACAAAGACAGAGTTGTCGAGAATTGCTTAATGATATCATCCTTTCATATTACAGTTTTAATATGATCACTTCATCTTATTTCACATTTAAAACATTCTTTTGCATATACCAGTATATAATCAACCACCTTTTTAAAATATGAAAGATCATTTATATTCTTGCTAATATGTGTAAAATAGACTAAATTAACTCTTGCAATTCTAGCATGAAAGATTGATATATGCAAATATGATGTTATGATATGTATTGCCATATTGATAAGCTATTTTTTCTTATTTAAAAGTTTGAGAGACAGGGAAATTGGAGGGAGAGGCAGTATAAGATCTTCCATTTGATGGTTAACTTCCCAAATGCCTGCAACTGTGCAACTTGGTCAAGCCAAACCACAGCAACATTTTCCAAGTAAGTAGCATTTGCTGCCACCCAAAGATATTTAGCAGGGAGTTGAATGGGAAGTGTGGAGTCAGGAAATAGAGCAGGAATTCAAATATAGGATTTGAGTATCCCAGACATTGGCTTAACCTAATACATTCTAATACTCACCATTCCACAAATATTTACAGTAATACATAAATTTTGGCTCCTATTTAATTATTTTGCCCTATAGTTAAGGATGGTAATACTGGGTTGTGTTTCTTGATCAAGTAATAGCAATAAATATCTGAGATGAACATGCAGAGGTGTGCATTGTGACAGAGAAATTCAAGAAGATTCATGAATCCCCTTACCCCCAGGACCTCCTACACTGTGCCATGTCAGAATCCTGTTTTCAGTCTGGCCTACTTGGCTTCTGATTCCAATTTTCTACTAATGCAATCTTAGACGAGGTACATGGTGGTTCAATGGCTCTTGCCTCTGCAACCCCAAACTGAAGACAGACATTAACTTCTGGGTTCCTGGATAAAGCCGGAACCAATCCTGACTGTTGTGGTCATTAGCTGGGGGTGAAAAAGAAGATGGAGTACCTTTTTGAGGGCTGTTGCAAGCCAATCCTCTGCCAGCAGTGTTAGCATCCTACATGGGCGCCTGTTTGTAGGTTTGAATACTGGATATAGTTCTGATCCAGCTCCCTGATTCTGGACTGGGAAAGCAGAAGATGGCTCAGATCTTTGGGCCCCTACACCCATGTGGGAGACCCTAATAAAGCTCTTGCTCCTGTCCTATGTTCAATTCATCTCTGGCTGTTATGGTCACTTGGGGAATTTATCAGCAGATGGAAGATCTTTCTTCCTATCTCTCCTCTTTGTAAATCTGTCTTTCAAATTAAAATAAATAATTTTTTTTCTAAAAAGACATTTCTTTTTTTGTGTAGAAAAAAGTAAATAAGTAGTAAATAAATGGTAAATACAACCTGTTAAAGCAGAGAGGTATAAGACACCTTAGTTTGCTTTATTCTAACAATACATTAGACACAGTTTTTCGAGACAAAAGAAAACAGCATCAGGAATAAGGAAATAAGGGTTCACAACAATCAGCAAGAAAGAAAATTCTATGATGTAGAGCTATTTGTTAAATGAAGGGGAAAATTGTATAGTAAATACACAGACTGTGATTGCGAATACTATTTGCTTGGCTTTAGTTACTAGAGGCATTTCTGAGGAGTATTGGCAAACTGAATAAATAATTTTTTGAACAAAGAATTCATATGAATTTAATATCTTTACTAGAATGTTAGTTTTTTTCTTGTAGTTCATAGGAATATAATGTTACTAATGCTGCACTTAGATGTAGGTAAGGCACAAAGAAATTTGCAAAAATAAAAAATACAGGAATGTCCGGTATACCTCTACAAGACTTTCTAAATATTAACATATTCACAGCTTCAAACAAGAAAACCAGGAAAACATTGGCACAATCTACATAGCTTGTATATATGTGCAATACTGTACGATTTATCACATACACTGTTTCCTATCATCAACACAGGACTTATCTATAATTCATTCCCAGTGACACTGGCCTCTCCCCAAATCTCTAACCAATGGACAGCATCCACTTATTCTCCTTCTGTATAATATGCATGATATGTATGTGTAATCATAGTGTATGTCTCCTTCTGAGATGGCTTTTTATCTCAGCCTAGTGCCTCTGAGCTTCTTCCAGGTTGAGTGTATCATGTATCAATAGACCCTCCATTTATATTGCTAAATAGTATTTAAATATATTTAATATATTTTTAAGTAATACCAAATGCTATCTCAGTCTACATGTTCTAAGCTAAATTGTGCCCTTTATCCCAAATTCATACATCAGAGTCCTAACCCCCAGATAGAATTTTGGAGGTTGTGTCATTACCAAAGAATTCAGACAAAATGGGATCATATTAATAGACACTCAGCATGTAAGACTGACTTAAACATTATAAGAGATAATGAGATTAGACACAAAAGAAGAGCAACCTTTCAAAGAAGATACAATCCAAACTGGCCATTTGCAAGACAAGAACAGAGGCCTCAATATGAATCAAATTTGCCCACATAGAATTCTATCCTCAAGAGCTCCAAGATAATCCATGCTTTTAAGTCATTTAATCTTTGGTATCTGTAATGGCTGTCCCTAGCAAACTAAAACACTGGATAAGAATAGTTTTATTTATATAATTGGGTCTTATTAATATGTGCTCATCTGAATACTTTGTTTATAAGGCAATCACTCACATATAAATGTAATTATGAACACTTTTCTAAAGGAGTCTATTTTAAATTTTTATGGCATTTTCTGTAGGCAATATAATTACAGCATGGAGGAATTAAAGGGACTATATACTTATGGAAATTATCAGTGTGCCTTAATACATTGCAGTAAAATATTCTATAGTGCTACAAAGAGAATTTAAATGAATTTATCAAACCTTAAAAATATGACTTAAACACTTTTGATATACTCCACATACACATTTGCTGTTTCTTTTTTAGAGTGAATCAGATTTAACTAAGTTAGCTGTGATGCTTTTATGATACAGACATGAGTTATAACTGAAATAAATTCTTACCATTTGCCTATTTGATGTGGAAATCAGATGGCACCACAAATGGGGCAATTGAAATTCAATTCATTTAGCAATATTTTATGTGTGTCACATCCACTTGATAAGTAATATGGACTTACTCATTAGGAAATATAGCTACAGCAAACAGATACACATTATGCATTAGAAAGAGACATTTTTTGTCTTATTAACTAATACTGATAGAAAGCATTACTAAAAACATCTTTCTGCAACTTTGAAAAGGACAAAAGAAACAACCAGAAAATCTACTCTATATACTAGAAAACATCTCATCTCAAGTGAATATCAACTCATCAAGGACATTATGCATCAAAAGGACTTACGGGTCTGATTTGACAGAAAAGTATTATAACTTACCATCTTGATCTGTGGTCACTGTAATTGCTGTGAATGGCTTGGGAGAAAAACTCAATTCAGAAACTCCATTCATGGCTTCAATTTCGAAGGTGTAATTCACGTGAGACACAAAGTCAAGCACTATCACAGAATTGTTGATCAGGCCAGTGTGTCTTGGGATGAAGCGGAGGCCTCCACCACAGTCCTCACATTGACTGCTGTCTAAGCCACATTTCTTACAGATTATACTGTATGTGAGATCCTTTCTCCCTCCTGTGTCACTTGGTGGGCTCCATTCCAAAATAAGGGCTGTTTCATTGATGTTAAAAGCCACATTCCTAGGAGCTGAAGGTGGTCCTAGAGAAAAGCAATTAAAAAACAAATGTACATGTATAGGATAATCAAGCACAGTACTAGATGGAAAACTTTATAAAGAAATATGAAAAGTGGGGTGAGAGTGTGGGGGTAAATTTGACTGACAAGTTCTAGCTTTAACCTAGAAAAGAGTAAGTAATTCTAGGGTTCTAGGATGATTATAGATAATAGTATGTATATTTCTAAAACCAGGATTTGGAATGTTTTTACAAGAAACAAATGTTAAGGACTTGAGAGGATCAATGTACTTAGACTAATTGGACATAAAATTTATACATATATATTCTAATATTTTGTGTCTGAATTACAATCTTACATAAAACCATCAGTACATATCTAACAAACATGGTAATCATATTTTTAATTTTCTGACTGAAAAATATGTAACACAAATTATTTAAATTACATGACATCTTTAATTACATTTGATTAATTATACCATCATAGTTAACACACAAAACACATTTAATTCAGTCCTTTTGTCTTCATATTTTGATCATCTAGTAGATAAACCGCACATTCTTTATGCCTGAAATCACTAAGCGTTTGTTTTCCAAAAGTTGAGAATAAATGGCCACAAATTTAAGAGGGAAAACATTTTGGAAGGGGAAGAGAAATCCTTACTTTTGTATCATTATTGAATAAACCTTACCTGAAGCCCTACTACATGTCAGATGCTGTACTAATGTGACACGCTACTGAATCTACGACTTATGGGAGACTTGATTCAAAAAATTCAAGCAATATTTTTAGAAAATAGTTTTTTAAAAAATAAAAGAATACCGCCTTGATAACAAGAAAGAACTTTTGTGCAACATTATTTCCAGAAAAAAAAATCCAATATTTGATATGTTTCTGCTAAATTTCACATTATTATTACTAATTCACTAAATAAGTATCTCATCGGGGACTACAATGTGGCAGACACTCTGTGAGATCTTGAGCACGCCATAGTATGCAGTCCCTGCTTATTTATATTTTAGCAGAAATCATAAACACAATACATGTAAATAGAATTCAAATTACAGTAAGTGAAATTACATAATTTAAAGACAGGAGGAGCATGTGACTTAGCAGGAAATGGTGCTATCTACAATACTTATATCTCATACAGACTCTGGGTCAAGTCTGGATGTTCCATTTTGCATGCAGTAAGCTGTTGATGGCCGTGGAAAGGTAACAGAGAATGGCCTGAGGGTTAGGGCTTGGGTCCCTGCCAACCATGAGGGAGACCAAGCTGGTGTTTCTGGTTCTTGGCCCCAGCCTGACCAGCTCTGACTATTATGGTCATCTAGGAGATTAACTAGTAGATGATGATCTTTCCCCTCCCTGGCCCGTGAGTGTGGGTGTGTGAATGTGAATGTGTGTCTCCCCCTCTCTGTGTGTAACTTCAACATTCTAATAAATAAATAAATATTAGGGGAAAAAAGACAGGAGCTGAAACAAAGATACTTGTTGAGATTTTTGAGAAAGCTTTGTAGAGAAGCTAAATGATACATATAGAGGAGTGGAAAGACTATTATTCATCAAACTAAATAGTTCTCGTTATCAAGGAAAGTCTTCGAACAGTGAGAGTAAAAAATTCCCAGAGGTAGAATGTAAAAAGGAGAATACACGGATTGAGTTTGAAGAAATAGGAAAAGCCTGGATCACGAAAAATTGCTAAGTTTATTTGTGCTGAATCTAGGTCTTTTTCTATATATTTCAGTGAGAAACTGACAGGTCTGACGTATGTACATGATGTGTTCTAAAAAGATCTGGCGGCAATGTGGTGATTGGCACAAGGAAAAGAGCAGTGAGATCTAACATAACATGATTCATAACCAGCATGACTGTATACTAGGCATGAGATACGATGCGTTATATATTCCCTTTTTTTGTTTTGTTTTGTATCACATCCTTACTTTAGCAACTGGTGAGGCAGAGACATCAGACACATACCTAATGGGTAACTCAAAAGGGTCATAGAAAAGTATATTGAAAGGATGGATTTATTTAGGTACAGTAAAATCTGAAATCCATGCATTTTATTTTTTTATAATATGGAATTTCCATGAACTTTTTGAAAACCCCATACTTTATCACCTACATCCAGAAACAAAAACACAATGGGTAAATTCTGTAAGAAGTTACTGGGCATTTGGTTTCATGATACTTAATCTGCTGAGTGTGTGCATAAATGTCTCCCCTCCAAAAGAAAAATATGGAGTGAATTATGACTGGATACAGAAGAAAATATACTTTTTACCTTCAAACTAAACTAATGCCTGAGTGCTAAATATTCGTTATCATAATTGTAATGATGTTGTCCTAAGAATGACATATTCATATGGTTCTGCTTTTTTATTATTTATAAGGAAGTACATGAAGTATTTTCCTTTTATATTTCCATGACTAGGAAGAATGGTATTAATTATGTTATGGGTGTCTACAACTATCTTGCTGTCCGCCCGTATGTACTTCATAAGGAACAAAGCCAACACCCTTCCTACTCAAGGGCCCTCACACCAATTTGCATGACAATTAAATAGCTTTTTAATTGCTGTTAAATTATGCCAGCTAAACTGTGATTTCATGCAAATATTAAGCTGTAATGACATGCAGTGAATCATTTACTAAGATTTAAAACTTGGAACAAAGAGAGGCAATTAATTCTAATACTCAGATTCAACTAAATTATGTGTCACTGGGCTTTTTATGAATGTGGCCTGATTGCTTTGTTATCGTTTATAAATTATACAAAGATTAGATGACATACGGAAAAAAATAACTTGGCAGCAATAATGATTTTGAAGACATCAGTATTGAAAACTCTCAGGGATTTCCTTACATTGAATTTTTTTTAAGGAAACAAATCACAGAGAAAAAAAGCAATGTCCTCCCCAAGAGAATGACTGCACAGAAAAGGCTAGTCATTCTGTTCAGAAGCTTGCAATGTTTCAAGTTGGTTATGGAAGAAATTGTCACATAAAACTGCAATTTTATTTCTGTAAGTTTACCTTCAACTTTATTTTCTACCATTGTTCCCATTAGAAACATTGTTTTGGCTTCAATACGGCCTTCCCTTTCTTACTCTTTAAGAATGAAGGAATAGGGCCCTGTGCGGTGACGCAGTGGTTAAGGTCCTCGCCTTGCACGCCCAGGATCCCATATGGGTGCCAGTTCTATCCCGGCAGCCCCGCTTCCCTTCCAGCTCCCTGCCTGTGGCCCGGGAAAGCAGTCAAAGACGGCCCAAAGCTTTGGGACCCTGCACCTGCGTGGGAGACCTGGAAGAAGCTCCTGGCTTTGGACTGGCATAGAATCGGCCGTTGCTCTCACTTGGGGAGTGAGACATTGGACGGAAGATCTTCCTCTCTGTCTCTCCTCTGTGTATATCTGCCTTTCCAATAAAAAAATAATAAAAATAAATCTTAAAAAAAAAGAATGAAGGAATTATGCTGTAACAGTGAAAATTAACAAGAAACTTGCGGTAACTGTGTCTTCCCTTCCCAGAATATCAACTGACCCAACAGACCATTATTTTCTTATCAAAGCCAAAGGAATCAATGTACTGTCATTTTTATTTTCTTTTATACAATTTAAAATGTTTTCAATAAAAATTGCTTTTAAATATAACTGTTGCTCAAAATATATTTCACACAATATCACTTGTCCCATGAGATTAACACACTGAGATCTGCACTCAAATAAGACTTGGCAATTTCAGGTTGAAATAAGTAATATAACAGTCATCACTTCTTGATTCTCACATTTGCCCAAAATTTGTTAATTGGATCTTATTTTTCAAGAACTACACAGGGCGATACTAATATCCTGCAGAAACTTTTAAACTACAAAGGATAAAAACAAGTTGAGAATCATATTTACATATCTATACCATATCAATTAACATGTAATATTTAAGACTTGCAACCATAACTTCAATAACTTACAAACTAAACAAATTGAGATTTTTCCATATTGACTGAGGAGTAACTAATAATGTTACCTCTGTAGCAAATTGCCCCTTGCACATGCATTTTTTTCACCTTAAGAACAACAAACTTATGATAAAAATATGAGAATATCAATTCACTAATACTATTGTCTATTAAGCTATATTTTACCACTTCTTATATTTGTACCTTCATTATAAAAAGTGAAGATATTTATATTAATGAGTTTTTGACTGAGAGGGAAATCTATATTAAACTCTGTCAAAAATATTTAAAGAACACATTGAATCATTTGTAGATGTTTATTTAAGTAAATGATTTTGCAAATCAGCAAGAGCACAGCTCTTTATAATGAAAAGCATACAGTCACAGATGAAAAAGCATATCTCTTGACTAGAGCGATATTAACAATACAAATGATCAGATTTACATATAGAAATAATGTGATTCAAAAATCACATTATATTTTATATTTTGTCCTTAATTTTGACTTTTGTTCATATCAATAGTACCAATCTATTGGTTTTCTTATATTACTGCCTAAAATGCATTTAATAGGAGCATCTGTAAACAAAACTATATATTTTGTTTATTTGTTCTATTTCACTAAGTCATTGTTATAATTTTTTTAAAAAGTAGATAGTAAAAAAAATAGACACTTGCCTATTTGGAAACAGGGGACAAGTATAACACTGGGGCTCTAAATTTAACAAAAATAATTTTATTAATTTATTTATATTGTATCAACTCCCTATAGTTTTTCATCTTAATATTGTCGAATTGGGACCAGTGCTGAGCTGTAGTGTGTTACATCACTGCCTGCAAACCTAGTATCCCCTAGGAGTTCAGGGGTGTGTTTTGGCTGCTCAACTTCTCATCCAGCTCCCAGTCAATGTGCGTGAGAAAACAGCCAAAGATGGCCCAGGTGCTTGGGCCCTTGCTCCCATGCAGGAGGCCTGGAGTAAGATCCTAGCTCCTGGCTTCAGGTTGGCCAAGCTCTAGCTTTAGTCATTTGGCAAGTAAATTTATGCTGGAACATCTCTTTCT